TATTACTTCAATGTTAAGATAATTCAACCCAGTCATACGAAGAGTGTATAATATACACTGTATATTACGTTGTTATAGCGCAGCATGTTCTGTCTTTCTCTTTGTCTATATCTCTGCCACCACCTCATTGTTCGTTTTAGGGTCGTTTGGGTGCAATTTTACAGTGAAAAAAGTGTATTTATTTTAACATATTTTTTCTTTTACAATACAGAATGCCTCTAATATGTTTAATATTATTGTTTTGTAATAATTCAAGACGAAGCTAACTATATAGTAATATTTTCTCGCGTTACCATGCTTGTTTTATTATTATTACCTACCTGCATGTAGGTGCAATATAGCATACATAATAATAAACCAAGTGTTTCATAATTAACTTTTATAGCAATGGAATCGTTATTAGACAAATGGGGATTTCCAACCTAATTGATATTTTTAAAGGTAGGTTTATTTATAAATATTATTGTAATATTATTTTACCATAAAATAAACTTTATTGTAGGACAAGATATATCGATGAGGAAAAGCTTTAAATATAAACGTCAAAATTTAAAAAGAATATTCCGAATTCCGAATAAGGTTTTTAAAGAAATAAGAGGAATATAATAAAACTATTACGGTTAAGTAGTGTATTATACACTGTATATATACCTCTAGGTATACATATACACTACTTTGTATACAAATTTAAGTATTGTATACCTACGTATTTAAGTAGTGTATACGTATTCAATTAAACTTTTGTTTGTTGTTAAAACCAGGGTTTAAATCAATAAAAAATCGGATTTTTATATTAAAATCAGATTTTTTGGATTTTAATTAAATTTTGGATACAAAAATTCAAAAAAAAAAGTAAAAAGAAATTGATTTAAATCTATTATATTTTATTTTCTGTTCCAATAAATTTGTATTTTTCTAATAAAGTTTTTTATAAAATAAATTTGATATTTTATTTTACCTTTCCAGTAAGTTACATTTAAATACTTTTATATTTGGTTTAATTATCTAATTTGTTAAATAAAACATTCTTTTTTAAGTAAAATTTTTTGAATCAATATTTTAATTATTTGATTAAAGTAAAAATTAATTTTTTTACCTTTAAATTTATTTATTATTTATTTAAGTAATTTTAAAGATTAAAACTGCTCCCATGTTTATTATTTTAATACTAATTGTGCATTAAATTAATATTTTTAATAATTTTATTAAATATTACGGTAATATTATTTTAATAATCCGTGTATTTTATTTTAATAATTTTGGTGGTTGGACCAAAAAAGATTTAAATGTTAAAATAAATTTCTGAAATTTTAATTTAATAATTTTAATTTGTTAAAGCAACATTTATATTTTAACATTCATGAATGGTTCTTTCTCCAAGTAAACATTGTGTGTGTAGAATGTGCAAAAACTGTTGATTTAACCATTTATTGGTTAATTTAACCATTTTTTTCTTTCAGTGTAGTATTTAAAAACCTATCCTTAGGTAAAACTTTTTGTCATGTATGGATTAAAAAAAACAAAAGGCGTATACTACCAGAGTGACATGTGATATATTATTTGAAAGGTCTTTTGAAGCTTGTTACATGTAACTACTTATTATACAGGATGGAATAACAAAATAGACACTTTCACCAAACGACATCATTTTGAAAATCTTTCAATTTTTAAGTCAAAAAGTAGTGTTTTCTAAAAATAAAAGTTGGTAAGTTTTTACGTTCGCACTGTATAATACAGTGTGTATTTTCTGTACCTTCAATCTAAGGTAATTTTTTAAAAGCAATCGCTTGTCATTAGCATGTAAAGCAGCGTATTGAAAAGGTTTCGCTTTGCAAATTGAAATGAAAATGGCGAAAATGTAGACGAAAAAATCGGGGGGATGCGTCATACGCTTCGAGCACTGACGTCACAAAAAAATCATTTCAAACGGTTTTACAGCTTTCATAAGCACCATAAATGATGTGTTTTTATGACTCGAACATGTTGACGAGGTTTTTTCCTCTATTTATTTCAGCGTGTTTTTCACTCATTTTATAGAGAATTTTTACAATTTATATTTTGTTATACATCATTTGGAAAATTGGTATTTAGTTTATGAAAGTCAAAACTTAATTAATGTTTTAGTTTACAAACTTAACAGTATCTGTTCTCTTTTTAGAGAAAGAAAAAAATGGTTAAATTAACCAATAAATGGTTGTTAAATCAACAGTTTTTGCACATTCAATACAAATAATGTTTACTTGGAGTTAAAAGAACCATGAATGTTAAAATATATATGTTGTTTTATTAAATTAAAATTTCAGAAATTTATTTCAACATTTAAACCTTTTTTTGGTCCAATCACTAAAAATATTTAAATAAAATTAAAAAAAAATTATTTCAAATAATAAACATGGGAGCAGTTTTAATCTTGGATTAATAAATTTAATAAGGTTAAAAAAAATAAATTGTTACTTAAATCAAATAATTATTATATTGCAATATTGATTCAAAAAATGTTACTTAAAAAAGAATGTTTTATTAATAAATAAATATTGGATAATTAAACCAAATATAACAGTATGTTGGTAAATGTAACTAAGTAAATGAAAAGGTTGAATAAAATATCAAATTTATTTAAAAAAACTTTATAAAAAAATTAAAAATTAAATTTTTTTTTACTTTCTTTGTTTGAAAAATTTAATTAAAATAAAAAAATCCCATTTTTTTTATTTTTTTCAAAAACAAAACAGCAAACAAAAGTACATAATACACTACTTAACCGTATACTATTATAATAGTTTTTTTGTATTCCTTTTATTTCTTTAAAAACCTTATTTGAGGACCTACTTTTGGAATTAAGTCTTAAAATTTCGGCGTTTATACTTAAAAGCTTTTCCTTATTGTCCTACAATAAAGTTTATTTTATGGTAAAATAATATTACAATTAAATAAACCTACCTTTATAAATATGTACATCAATTAGGTTGACAAATCCCCATTTGTATAATAACGATTCTATCATTCTAGCATTGAATCCAGACTTAGATACGGAATAATATGCTGGGGCTATTCCACCTCTGTGCGTGTTTTTGTGATTCAGAAAAGAGCCATTCGATTTATATATGGATTAGGATTTCAAGAATCCTGCAAGCCTGTTTATATTTCCAAAAAATACTAACTGTTCCATGCTTATTTATTCTGGAAGCACTTATGTATGTTAAAAAAAATATGTCGAATTTTTCTTGTTTGAATGAACATCACACGTACCGCACAAGGCATGGTTTTGATTTGGAATTGAGTTTGCATCGATTGGAACTGTATAAGTCGAATCCAGTTTACATTGGTGCATTATTGTATAACAAATTGGAAGCCAGTCTCAAAATGCAACCTTTAAATTCATTTAAATCTAACCTAAAATTGTTTCTACTAGAGAAAGCGTATTATTCGGTGGATGAGCTCTTGAGTGGCTAAGGGGCCGTTCATTAATTACGTGAGGTGTTTAGGGGGGGGGAGGGGGTCGAGCCAAACCTCACCAAATCTCACGTGGGGGGGAGGGGGGCTCTCGGCAAATATTACGTAATTTTTTTTTTCCAAAAGAAAGAGTGTAAAATTGCGAGAAAACTGGGTTAAATTAAGTAAACAATTATAAGCAAATTGTTTTTTTCGAGCAAAATCTCACGACATCTCACCAAGGGGAGGGGGGGGTCGAAAAATCGCCAAAATTGTCTCACGTAATTAATGAACGGCCCCTAATGTAAGATGATAATTAGAAATTTTTGTATTTATATATATTTTTAAATTTTGTATTGACTTGTCTTATATCATAGTATATGATCTTTGGACCAATAAATATTATTATTATTATTATTATTCCATTGCTATAAAAGTTAATTATGAAACACTTAGTTTATTATTATGAAAGCTATATTAAAACATGTACCTACATGTAGTAGGTAATAATCATGTCACAAGCATGGTAACGGGAGAAAATATTACTATAAAGTTAGCTTCGTCTTCAATTATTACAAAATAATAATATTAAACATACTAGAGGCATTCTGTATTGTAAAAGAAAAAATATAAAAAAAATCACACTTACCAAGTTTTTTCACTGTAAAGTTGCACCCAAACGACACTAGAACGAACAATGGCGTGTGGCAGAGATAGAGAAAGAGAAGGGCAGAACATGCTGCGCTATATAACTCTCCGTGTAAGTTAAAAATGTTAACAAAATATCTTGCAATTTTAGAATAATTACAATATACAAAAGAACATCGCTTCAATAATTTTACAGTATTCGTTTCATTTTTGTGTGTATCCATTTAATTAATAGAACAGCAATTTAATCAAATATATATATATATTGAATAAATACATATACCTACCTACGTTTAGTGTTGAAAGTAAAATATAAGTTTATATGAACAAAATGGTTATTGTTTTAATATCTTTGATTTAACAAATTCATTTATCTCTGTGTAAAAATGAATTAGTCAAAAATAACTAGTTACTACTGTTATTAGTGGCTGCTTTTTCATTTATACCATGGTTAACCATGGGATACCACGGTATCCCCCACATTTAACAGCCAATTATTATGTAAAATTGTCCCCTGAATCCGAAAATGTCGTCAAAAGTTATAAAAGTAGAGCAGTTTTTGAGATAAAGTCAAATCAATATTATATGGAAAATTGACTATATCTCAAAAACTGTTCTACTTATATAACTTTTGACGACATTTTCAAATTTAGGGGACAATTTTTCATGGAAATTGACTGCTAAATATTCGGGTTACAAATTGCTATTGACGAGAATTATAATTATTAGTGTCTATTTTTGACTAATTCGTTTTTAGAGAGTTCATCAAAAGGAAATTAAGAAAAATTGTTGTCAGAATCTTAAAAACTTAACTATGTACAACTTGTTGTTTTCTTGAATAGGTATACCTGTTAAAACTTACTTATTGTTAAAGGTGGTTGTTTTTATTATTCCAAGGATTTTACGTAGCTTAGACTTACCGTCTGTCGGAAAGGTGGCGGCTGATGGGGCCGGCGCCAGGGGCCATAATCCTCTCTGGGTGGGTCCACCCGGCCCAGCGGGGCTGCCCAGCATGCTCACCACTCACTCCACTACGCCACTGCAACAAAAAAACAACAAAAATTAAAAATAACACAGCTTTTTAGAAATAAAAAACACAATAACAAGATTTTCCTCCCATATTTTTTTTACAGATTTTAAAAATAAAGGTTAATAAAACGTTTCACGAAATCACGTCATTTAAATTTTTTATACAGCCATTCTTATTATTTTAACCTATACAGATTTTTAATTCTCTATTTTGTTATAAACCATTTTTTTCTTCAAATATTGTATGTTTTTACGTAATACTAAAACTATACTTAAAGAAAATAATAATTTTTTTTAAATTAAAAAAATAATTTCTGTTTTTAATTTTTAATTTTTTTTAATGAAACAACAGATTTATTTGTATCTTATATTCAATATATGTTGGAAACAAATCTTGGTCCTTTAGTTTGACGATTATATATACTATTAAACTAAGAGATATTTGCTCTAAAATCAAAATAAAATGTGGTTATGTGGTGTGTTTTAAAAATTTATGTAAAGATAGTTTCTGATTTAAATTAAGAAACATAGCTCTTGGCCCTATTCAAAAGCGCAAATCTTTTGAATCAAATTCTTTTAAAATATTATTTTTTTCAGTGCGGAAATGACATCAACTTTATTATTTCAAATAGAACACTCCATATATTTTTATATTTTTAAATTCTACATAAAATCTGAGTAAAATTGCCTTGTCCTATACCTAAAGTGAATAGTTTTCGAGTTATTAATTTTTGGAATCTTAAAACATTACAAATCTATAAACAATTTGTTGACTAATTAAGTGTTTTGTAAACAAAATTACTGATAAAAGGCAGTCAGTAAATTATAAAAGACATTGACAAGCTAAACATTTTTAAAATTTAAAAGTTATACAAACAGTATTTGCTTTTAAAAAAAAAATCAATAAAGCTGTAGCATGTCAACCAGATAAAGCACTAGCTCATTGGAGACAATAAAATTTACTATTTTAATAAGAATGCGTAACTATAACAATTTAATAAACCAACAATGTTTTAATTAACGATTTTTATTACTAATTTATTACTAATGTTCAAAGTGTCCTCCATTTACATTCAAGCATATTTTAATTCTTACTTCTACATTAGACGTTGCTCTTCTTGACTATTCTGGGTCTAATATTAGAAATTGTTAAATATCTCTGAAATTATTAAATTTAGGTATAGGGAATAGTCAATCGAAATGTTTTTTAATTTTCTATTTGATTATGTAAAAACATACAGGGTGTTACATTTAAAATAAAAAGTTATTAACGTTTCAAGTTAGCCTAATTTGCCCTGGGTTTTCTTGGGTAATTTGTTGAAAAATGTTAAAGAATTGTTTTAAGATTCCAAAAATCCACCCCTATTTCCGCAAACCTAATAGCAAAAAAGTTATAGGCTATTTTAAAGAAAAAAATTAACTTGAAAACTATTCACTTTAGGTATAGGACATGGTATAGTAATTTTACTCATAATTTTGTAGAATAATTTTAGCTTTAATGTTTGTCCATTTATTCAGTGAAATTTTTTTTTTAACTATACAGTCTAGCTGTTATCGAAGCTGAATTATGTGCAGGATACTGTGGATAACATTTTATTGGATCGCACTTAAAAAATCAAATGTCGTGATCTGAAAAAACGCCGAAACATGGATTTTTAAGTCTATTTTCGAAATCTATAGGAATTTTTCATGGGAAGGAAAAAAATCAAATTTTGTCGTATACTGTGTAATGAATGTACTATAATTTTCCTTTATCTGTACCCCCTTAACCCCCATGAAACAGAGCTCTCTGATTAACATTTCGTCACGACTCTGTCCATATGGGCGCATACCTGATAGCATGGGTAGTGTTTTGTTTAGTAAGCGAAATTCAATATCCCCGCAACCAGGGCCGGATTTAGTTTAACACTTTTGAAAGTTCTGAATAAATTATCGATAAACCAAGCTTAATAAAAAATACTTTTATTTCAAAACTCTGTTGCCTCTCGTAGAGCTTAGAATTTCTCTACCTGAACACAGTTGGCTTAGGTCTGGGTGCACGGTCGATTCTCGATTGTTTATTTTCGTAACCAGGCGCCTTCTATTCACTCGAGGTAAATAAACAGATGCATTTTAATGTGTCAAAAAGAAGAAAAAAGTAAGGAACCAAAAATAAATAAGTTTCTGGTATTCTACGAATTTATAGTGTTTTATTTCGATGGAAGTGGTTTAAGGTGACTTTTAAAGAGCCAAAAGGGTTTAAATTATTCAATGACAAGCGTTTTTGTATAAATTATAAAAACAAATATGGGTCATTCCTTTATTGAGTTAATAAGATTCTCATTATAAGGACATAAAAATATTAAAATTATTTTGCGACGGATTGTCTATAATATGTAAAACTTTTGTCAAAGTTATAAAACCATGAAAAATCCGAAGCAGTAGAAAAAGCTAACTCTGAAGAAGCTAAATAAGATAGTTTAGCAGATGCAATAGATAGTTTAGACAATAATTTAGGCAATATAAATAAATATCTAGAATAAAAGAATACCACCACGAAAGAAATAACAATTGAAGATCGACTTCAAAGCCCAGAAAACTGAATACAAAGAACAAAATCTATCACCAAAACTAAATTGGAAATTTTGTTTAACATTCTTGGTGAAAACGTCCACATTTTTTGATGAACCAGAGAAAATCTGAAGAAGTAGAAAAAGCTAACTCTGAAGAAGCTAAATAAAATAGTTTAGCAGATGCAATAAATAATTTAGACACCTTAGGCAATATAAATAAAGATCTAGAATAAAAGAATACCACCATGAAAGAAATAAAAATTGAGGATCGACTCCAAAGGCCAGAAAACTAAATACCAAGAACCAAATCTATTACCGAAACTAATTGATAATTTTTTTAACTTTCCCCAAGCAGCATTTTAAGTAAAAGTGTAGAGCTTTGAGGCAATATTACTTAATTTAAGTAAATATTTTGTTAAATTAACCTTAAAAATTTACTTTAAAGTAAAACTTTTTTTAAAGTTATAATATAAGTTTTATTTATGTTATTTTTACCTATTTTAATAACCCTTAAGTTTCAAAACTTTAAAGTATTATGAGGGACGTAATTTTTACGAAAGAAAATTACTTATAAAGGAAAATTTAACGGTAATTTTAACGTCAGAATTTTTACTTAATGGTAAATGTTACTCATAAGTCATAATTTTACGATATTAAGACCACTTTATAACCGTAAATAATTTCTATCGCCTGGTATTTTTTAGGGTTATTAGTGTGGTAATAAATACTAATAATATTGACTAAACATGGAAAAAAAAAGCTTAAAGTGAAAAATAAAACTTTGCGGGAATTTTTTTAGGCCGCCATAATGAGTTTTTTAAGATGGCATCCATTACTTATCTAAACATTTATATAATATTTTTTCATGAATATATTTCTAAAATATAATAAGAAAAGTTTTAGTTATTAAAAAATGATTAAAACTAAATGATTTTTAAAAGATTTTATAAAATTTTGTAGGTTTTAAGTTTTGTTGAATTTTTACCCAAGCAATAATTTTTCTTAAAACCGTAAAATATTTAGAGGGCATATAATTTTTAAGACGTATCGTACCTATTTTTATCAATAAAATAATGTGCGTTTGAGTTTTAATGCAAAATATCAATGGTTTTGACAATTTAAGTTATATTTTTTAATTTTCCTCTAGGGTGACCTTTATTACTTTGTAATTACTTAAGTACCTACCATTTTGTAAAATTTAAATTAAAAGAACAAAGAAATTACGAATATCAATGTTTAAGAAAGAGAGAGCAAACAGTTAGTAATTACAGCGTTATTTTTACGTAAATTTGTGGTATTTATATTGTTTTTATTACGTAATTCTCTCAGAAGATCAAAAAGGTTATTATGTGGGTAAAATAACGAAATAAACCATTCCCCAAATTTGGTAATTTTTCGTATCTATACCGATATAAAACCGTTTTTGTTAACCGTAAACAATACTTTAAAGTTGACTTAGTAGTAAATTTGTAGTTATTTAAACTTAAAATGCTGCTTGGGTCTTGTTAAAATTGTTCACATTTTTTGATAAACCAGAGAAAATCTGAAGAAGTAGAAAAAGCTAATACTGAAGAAGCTAAATTAGATAGTTTGGGAGATGAAATAGATAATTTAGACACCAAGGAAGAAATAGATAACAATTAAATATCGACTTTAACGCCTTGTAAATTGAATACCAAGAACCAAATCCATCCCCAAAACCAAATTGATATTTTTTTCTAACATTCTTGGTAAAACTGTCCACATTTTTTGATAAACTAGAGAAAATCCAAAGCAGTAGAAAAAGCTAACTCTGAAGAAGCTAAATTATACTGTTTAGGAGATGCGGTAGATAATTTAGACACCTTATATAATGCAAATGAAGATGTATAACAAAAGAATGTCACAACGAAAGAAAAAAACAATTAAAGAGCGGCCTGAAAGTCCATAAAAGTACTAACGTGGAGAAAATAGATGTAAATGTAATTTAGCTATTTAAACGTATTCGTATATTATAGCCATCACAACTTAATAAATTCATTGACCAAAAAAAGGTTTTAATTTATTCCCATAAACGTCAACTATTATTGGCCATATTACGTTTTTTATAGTCGATTTAATACTTTAGAATCAAAATTAATCCCGGACTTATTATAATTCTTTACGGAGAGCAGACTGCGAGTTGAGTTGAATAAAAAAATCAAGGCTAGCAAGGTTTTTATTTCTTATTCTCAGATAAATTATAAGGGTTTTACTCATTTCTTCGGACCACTGGTTCATTCATTAATAAGAGATCCCGAAAAGGCTCATTTACTTTATTGGTATCTTAAATATCGGTAATTATTATGTTGTCTTTCAGATAAACCAATAAAAAAGTGTTGAATCGTAGCCAGCTAACAATCCATATAAATTGAAACCGACATGTGAATGGTAAAATTCAAGGGACCGGGAAAA